AGACCCAGTGTGGACAGTTTGTGGGTGAGTTTGTGGGGGACAACTGTGTTGAAGGTGGAGCTGTAGTCAATGAAGAGTATCCTGATGTAGGAGTATCCATTTTCCAGGTGCGAAAGGGAATAGTGGAAGAAGAATTCTGTAAATGGAAGAAGTTTGGAACCACCAGGACTTTTCCTAGAGCGGGCCGCCCGGCCAAACTGAGCAATTGAGAGAGAAGGGCCTTAGTTAGGGAGGTGACCAAGAACCCGATGGTCACTCTGAAAGAGCTCCAGCATTTCTCTGTGGAGAGAGGAGAACCTTCCAGAAGAACAACCATCTCTGCAGCACTCCACCAATCAGGCCTGTATGGTAGAGTGGCCAGACAGAAACCACTCCTCAGTAAGAGGCACATGGCAGTCCGCCTGGAGTTTGCCAAAAAGGCACCTGAAGGACTCTCAGACCATGAGAAACAAAACTCTCTGGTCTGATGAAACAAAGATTGAACTCTTTGGCCTGAATGCCAAGCGTCATGTCTGGAGGAAACCAGGCACCGCTCACCACCTGGCCAACACCATTCCTACAGTGAAGAATGGTGGTGGCAGCATCATACTGTGGGGATGTTTTTCAGTGGCAAGAACTGGGAGCCTAGTCAGGATCGAGGGAAAGATGACTGCAGTAATGTACAGAGACATCCTTGATGAAAACCTGTTCCAGATCACTCTGGACCTCAGACTGGGTGCATCTTTCAACAGGACAACGACCCTAAGCACACAGCCAAGATAACAAAGGAGTGGCTATGAGACAACTCTGTCAATGTCCTTGAGTGGCCCAGCCAGAGCCCAGGCTTGAACCCGATTGAACATCTCTGGATAGATCTGAAAATGGCTGTGCACCAATGCTCCCCATCCAACCTGATGGAGCTTGAGAGGTATAGCAAAGAAAAATGGGAGAAACGGCCCCAAAATAGGTGTGCCAAGCTTGTAGCGTCATACTCAAAGACTTGAGGCTGTAATTGGTGCTAAAGGTGCTTCAACAAAGTATTGAGCAAAGGCTGTGAATGTTTATGTACATGTGGTTTTTTTTCATTTTTTATTTTTAATAAATTTGCAAAGATTTCAAACAAACCTTTTTCACATTGTCATTATGGGGTATTGTTTGTAGAATTTTGAGGACAATAATGAATTTAATCCATTTTGGAATAAGGCTGTCACATAACAAAATGTGGAAAAAGGTAAGAGCTGTGAATACTTTCTGGATGCACTGTACTTAATCCCACCTACTACTACCTCACTGGTTTAGTTGAATTTAATGCTCTGATGAGCTCAATGAACAAGTAATTTTTCCATACTTGACAAATTTAACCTGATCCATACAAGACGCTGTATGCATGTTTTCACAGGCTCCGTCTGTGACTTGTGATTTGACTGTTACTTTCATGGATGAGGCCGCATGTTTCTGGCCGAACCCGACCCATGCCCAAGAGTGTGATGTCCGAACTTGACCCAGACTCGACAAACTTGTAACATATAATGTCTGAACTCAGCCCAAGCCCAATGCAGTTGACTTTGCACAGTGTCTTTTTCCTATATCAATAAATGCAATAGATGTTTGAGTGCCTGAGCTGTCTAGCCTGAAGTTTGACGTACGTTTCTCAACCTGACCCTGCAATATTGGTGAAGTGCTTCTTTATTTTATTTTTTCTTTCCTGTGGAACATGATATTTCCCATAATATTCCTGTTGGGACTAATACTTTTTGACGAGGTGTTGATCTCAGTTAATTTTTGTGCTCCCAAAGTGATATTTTTCTTCCAAGTTACTCTTTCATAAATGCTAGTTGATTCCCTTTGACCTGAGTGCCCATGGTGGCCATTACCGAGCGTTATACAGCTGCTGATGCAAGGTGCCAGTTTCCCAAGGACTGGATAGTACCGTAGGTGATGGGAGGGCATCCCTGTGCTGCTGTCTTTAATCACCTCCTCTGCCTGGCCTGCAGGCCATCTGTCTGGCTATGTGTGTGTAAACTTGTGTGAGAGTGTGCATATTCCAGTTTTAGTGCATTTGGTGTAACAAGCCAGAAAAGGCTCACATTGTGCTGGGACACCTTAAAGAGTTAAAAATGACCACACACATTAATACATTCATTAGGGGAATTTCTAGTGCTTAAGGTGGCCAACAGGCTTGTGCGCACACACGCACAGATATACTCACACAGCCGAACTGTCTGACATGTGTTGCGAATTTGTCGGACAGACAGTCTAAGAGGCTGTGTGAGGAGGGAATTCCTTCATCTGCACGGCCCTTCAAGCTGCACATGTGCTCAGCATCTGCTCTCTACACACACGCACAGGGAGTGAGAGAGCGAGTGTGAGGAGAGAGAACGACAAACGGAGGTCAAGAAACAAGGAAAATATTTCTTCAAGCATGGCCTTGCTCTCTCCTCTCAGCGCTGCCTCTCTAACCTCCAATCGCAGCCTGAAAGAGCCTCTATAGAGCTGCTGGAGAAGCTGTTAACAGCGTGTGCCATCTCAAGGTTACAAGGCAAACTCATCTGATGCTGCTCTTGTATGTACTGTGGAGGCCACCTCCTAATCTCAACGAGGAGTGAGTCACCCGCTCTTGAAGTCTCAGAGGGGATGCACATATGCCACACGCTCCTTTGAAGGTTGATTGTATGAGGATGCGTGTGAACATATGCGTGTTTGTCAGGCTCACAAACATTGCGTGTATGCTGCGCTCCATATACAAGCACAAACAGATGCACTGCAGTGTGTGAGAGAAGTGTTTTTAGAACTTTCTGCCTTTTTAGTTGCAGTCCAGTGAGGTTTGGAATGAAAGCATGTTGTTTGGCAGAGCACATGCATTACAGACATCTGTAAAGGCAGGACTGTAAAATAATTATCACTGTTCTAGTGAGAGTAGGAGAGCATTTAATACATAGAGTATATAAGTGGCTACATTGCCTTTACAATTTCAATGTTTTTAGTCCCAGATGATCAGTCGTGTTCTGCATATGAGATGTGGTAACAATGAAAGTATTTGGTTTGTTTTACTGACGTATTTTCCTTGTCCATATGTTGCAGGATGTTGGAGTATTCCCTCAACCTGCAGAACGTCAGTTTGTCAGCAGTGAGGACAGTTCGCGTGCTGAGACCACTGAGAGCCATCAACCGAGTGCCAAGTGAGTGCAGACTTACTGGCCCCTCACACGTTCTTTGGATCCCAGAGCACTCTCTCCTCTAATAGTAGAACACTTTTGGCTTCCTCCAGAGACAAGTACACTTTTTAAACTAAAGCCAGACTGTGTACAACTTTTAGGTTGGCCATAACATCAGGCTTTTGTCAGTAATAATAAAAAAAAAGTCATAGACAACTGACTCAAAGCCATTCATATCTAACTCAGACATGTAACTCTTCACCTTGACTCACTTGAGTCCAGATGTTTATCATGATAGTACATTAGTGATGTAACAATACCAAAACCTCATGGTACAATACTGGCACAATCAAAAGTCCACGATATGATATTTGTCACAATATTCAATAATGCCCCTTACTAAATGATAAATCAGCTTATTTGTTTTTCTTCTTTTGTCAAATGTATATAAAAGATAATGCAATAGTCAGTAGTCTTTTTATGAAATAAAACAAGTTATCGCAGGAGCTAGTTCCTGTAAATAAAACAACACATATTCACAGTGGAACATCAGTGTTTTTGTGCCAAATTCTGTGACCTGAATGCAGTTACACTAGCAAAAAAAAAAAAAACGTGTAATATCCTGATAGATAACAGTCCCACAAAGGTAACAAAAAATGTTTTTATTGTGACATTGTGAAATTACATCCCTATAATATAAAACTGAAGCAGAAGTCGCCTTACTTTGATTTGGTGTTAAAATATTCATCACCGTGACCAACAAGTACTGTAATATTTTCATGGTCAATCAAGCTTGGTAGCAGAAGATATTATCATGGTATTTGCTATCATTGGTGCTCATAAAGGTGGGCTGAATTCCTGCACAGCTGTGGAATGTAGGTCAGGGACAAGCCGATTCACATTTCTCTGTCTGTGTTTAGGTTTTCCCCAGTTAGACAGTCAGCTTTGCACTCATTCAGATTTATATGCAATTTTCCAAGTCACTGCTTTTTATTAAAGGACTGTAGTTCATAGCCACACTCATTCACTCACACAGACCATCACACATGTTCAGTACGATACAAATGCACAAAAGCCCTGAGTCAGTTGCTCCATCTGTCGTCTTGTCTTTCACACACACATCCTAACCCCCCAAAAAAGTTTCTCTGCCCATTTTTCCACTAGTCTTCAATAGAGTTTAATAAGCACAGTGCAATTTCAAGTGCGCACATTGTTTAAATAAATGGAAAGCATTTTTTGCCCACCCAGCAGTCCATTACAGTACGTGCACTCTTCCTTACTTTGATTCCACCCCCTGTAATGCCTTCATTTAAATACAGATCCTAATTATGTCATTCTCTTCTCAATTGCTCTGAGGGGATTACAGGCAAAGTGAGCAATGATCCCCAGGATGTGTGTGTGTCTACAGGCAGGTGTTTACCCCATATAGATGCATGAATGGGACATCAACCCCCCTCCCGTCTCTCTCTCCCCTGATAACACTCCTTAGCCTCTTCTGTAATCTCACCCTCTTGTCAATCAAAGCCATCGTAGGGGTCCGCCACCGTTCTTTAGGTCACAAACAGAGTATGCAGTCACAGTCACTGATTTGCTCATAAGGCATCCAACCAATCCTCATCCTAATCACATGACTGATACTGGCATTAATGTGTGAATGATTTTGTTCTGACCATGCAGGGAAAATGTCATGAAACATGTTCCTCCGTATTCCTTTCATCTCTTCAGCATGATCAGATCCAGCGGAGAAGGTTGCGGCATTCATCATGACCCTGGGTGGGGATGTTTGAGTGGAGCTTTGACTATTTTGAGGCATGCTTAACTGAATCTGAATACATGGGTGCTCGAGTTCTGAGATGCTGTGAAATCATTTCTTACATGTTAGATGTATTTATGCCACTGAATAAGGTGTTTTTTTTCCCTGTTCCATTTATTAAGCAGTTGGCTTCATAAGAAAGAAGGCAGGAAAAAGGCAAGCTAGAGTTTGCCCCTTTCAAAGATATGCCAAGTAGAAAAGGAATTCAACCTGCCTAACTGGGGCTGCCATATTACAAAAGAGGTACAGAATAGGGATGACAAATGACAAGATCCACAGTTGTATCAATGCAGCAACACTGAGGCATACATGTAAAGAATATCTGAAGCCCTAGCCACACAAAAAAGAAGCATAGCATTGGTTCAGCTCTAAACCAAGCTCTTGGACTGCCAGATGAGCTGACTGACATTGCCATCACTACTGCCATGCTGCTAGCAAAATATGGGATTGTAGCAGTTTTATTTATGAAGGGACTCACTGTTTTGTGATTATTTCTTAATGTTTTCTGTTGAAAAGTGTGGAACATGTGAATAGGGTATGGGAGCTACCAAATCCACAAACATAAATGCTGATGTCCTTAGTGATTAGCTAGTATTCAAGGCTCAGGTGTTAAACTGCATAACACCCCACACATTGACAGAGAACCACTTGGCCGATTAACTACAGTTACTGGGAGGCAATGAACACCACTCTATATAAGTAAAGTATTTTATATCTCGGGCTGTGATAAAGCACTCAAATCAATCAGGCTGTCGTCAGTATAGATAGATACTGTAGACTATTCAAATGAATTTTCAGGTTAGTGTAAGGACATGGCATTTGTATTAATGTTTGTTTTGATACAGCAGGAGAGATTTAGCATCATTAAGATGAAGCTGTAGTTCAATATCAAGTGTAAATGTACTCCAGAGCAAAGGCTGATTTATAGCTGATGATGCAAACAAGACAGTGCAGCACCCCTCAGCTGATACACACAGTAGATTAAATAGCTTATACACTATCATTATGCATTTACAGGTCCAAGGAGTTCATTCAAGCTGTCACTCCAGGGTGGTATGATTTTTCCATCTTTAGCATCTCAGCTGAAGTTCTTGTTTGTCTGCTGCTGCCAAAAATGTAAGCCATGTGATCCTGGATCAGCAGATGTGTAAAGTGTACCCACATCCCTCTGTCTCACTTTCTATAGCCCCGCATTGTTCTCTTCGTGCTCTCCATATCTGTCATCTTTTGCCTTAAACCTGTATTGAAAAACAGAAAGCTGGGGCTCATCTTAAAACCCACACACCCTCAGAATTGCATTAATGAAAACATTGTTCCTGGGTTGGTGTCCACATCCTGGGCTCTGGCATTGATTGATGTGCTAGCATGGCAGTCCTGCCAGTGGAAGTGACAGATACATTTTGTAGGCTTCATCCACCAGCTGCCAACGAAACCAAAGATCCCAGGCTGTGTCACCACCACATCCTCTGCCACCTGATTGGCTATTACCCTCATGTCCAGTACCAGCCTGCTGCAGGCCTGTCACTGGTGACATCAAGGCAGGCACGACAACCTTGACACGCCTCTGCATGGGTCTTAATAGTCAAAAGGAGCGGCTAGCCACTCGGGTGTCCCATATACAGAACGTCTTCCTGTGTGACAGAGGAGGGTCCTCTTCTCTGGAAGAAATGAATAGTGTTGGACACAGTTGTGTTTGTGGTGTGAAAATGGATACGGTGTATTATAATTTTGGATGAGTATGTATAATACACAGAGGGCAAAGTAAGAAAAATTTTAATTCTAGCTTTGCTAAATTGTTGAGAAAAACGAGCCACTATTTTTTTTCATTTTTAACTCTAATGATGCGTCTTATGTATCAAATAATGGCAAACTAACATTTACAATAGTTTTTCAGCAGTTGCGACCTTGATTCAGCTGCTACAATAGGCAAATAGAAATGAGGCGCAGCCTTGATGGGTTTTAGCTTAAAACCTTGAGGCACGGAAACCTAGAGTACTGCCTTTAATATGCTTAAATAGAATTTTTCTGTCATATGTTTGTAGCAGTAAAGGTGCCATTGTGATCTACAGAGTAGGAAAATGGCTTTTTCTTTTGTTGCCTCAGGAAAAATTGCCACATTTATTTCACCATACAGCACAGTTGTTTTTTAGGCCAATCATACAGTATGTTTGGGATAGAAAGGGTTGGTGGTTGCTCACTTGCCAAACTGCCTGGTTTGGTGGCCACACTGGTAAGCAGCAGTCTGACTTTGTAATTCATGGCTTGCCTCCTGGCCAGGGTTAATGTATTCTCCCACCATGGTTATCAACAGTTCCTTAATGCCATAAGCAACTGAGTTAGAGATTTTATGCAGAAAGGGCAGTTTATGGGAAGTGCAGCTTGTATAAAAATTTTATAATGCCTTTTGTAGCTTCAGAGAAGTTTTAGCCTTAAGAGAAAATACCTCCTGTTGATGTCATTGGGGTTATCTTGGCCTTGGTTTGGAGACAAATTTATAGCAGAAAGCCTCTTACAAACTAAAATATGGACCCACAGACCATGGGGGAGGGTGTGGGTTGTCATGTAAAGATGTTACATATTTTGGTATAAAAATCAGAATATCTCACCATTGGCTGCTTTGGTAGGTCTTTAGGACTGGCATCTTTAGAACCTAACCCATCTGAGTACAGCTACCAGCATCAAGGAGAGATCAATTCGAAGCAGAGGTAGACAAATAAATGCCATCAACATGAAACATCTTCACTGTGATCTTTAAAAGATATGACAGGATCCCTGAGAATCTAGATGCTGATGATGGTAGAGTAAAACCAGCATGTAATTGATGTAAACTCTCTGGACATCCTAAAGGTCCTGGTGGTGATGCAGAGTTGGTGAGTTGTGCAATAGTAGCTGTGAAGTACAAAATGACAAAATTGCAATTATATTTAAAGAGCAGCATCCAGGGACTGATTGGCTCAAAGAACACAGGCAGAAAGATCACTGGTTGGATAGTGTGAATATAGGAATTTTGACAGCATGTGAAAGCAGAAGGGACAGGAAAAAACAGGAGGAAATAGCAAACATTCACCTGTAGCGGCATTAAAGCAGAATGCAAGAGAAAAATTGTCCCTTATTGAACCTTTGCCAAAGCTTCATTTAATGGATTACAAACAAATTTTGAGTTGCCTCCTTTATTATTTGAATTGCCAGTGAATAAAGGAGGCTGTGATTC